TGGAAAACTATACAATTTTCTTTTTTATTGCGAACGCACAAAGTTAAACTATTTGGTATTCTATTTACGAAGCATTTGTGTACATAAATGAATCAAACAAGTGTTTCTAGTAACGGAGCAGTCAATAATAAATTTCTTTTCTCCATTTATTGAGATCAATGGTTGTTATTTTGCTTCGTACGAAATGTCTAAATGTGAAGAAATTCATCAAAATAAGATGATGTTTCAGTTTCTTAAGGATTGAGGAATGTTATTTTAAGTCACCGACATTCATAAAATCAAAACGATTGAAAACTAAAAATACATGTGATTCTATGTTTTTTTTAAAAACTCTAAAAAAAACCGGTGCAAAACGTATTAAATATTTTAATCATTGTTTTTATTTTGCGTGTTGTGGATATTCCTGAATAAAAATATTTTTTTCTTGTGTTGTATCAAGATTCAGAATAGCTACAATTTCAAATGAAAAAAAAAGACGAACTAAACAAACAAAATTTATTAAACATCCTATTAATTCATCAGTGAAAATCTATTATAATATATTTTTGTTTTAAACTCTTTTAGTTTATGTGTCGTTTATGGTTTTCATGTGATGTTCTATTTTCAACAGCATCTATAATACATTTAGCTTGTATATCACTTGATCGTTATTTATCTATAGTACGTCCATTTGAGTATGAAAATTCATCATCAGAACGACGACGTTATATAATGATATTTTTTTGCTGGTTTGTATCAGCTTTACTTTCATTTATACCAATATTTACTGGTGTATATACAACACGTGAACAACGACATAAAATTGATTGTTTAAATCATGTTCATGGTCGTTGTATATTTGCTGTTAATCAAGCATATGCTATTGTATCATCTTCATTTTCATTTTGGGTTCCAGGTGCCATTATGATTATAATGTATGCTATGTTAATACGAATAGCTGATCGAAAAGAACGTGAAGCATATGAAATCATGGATGCTGTTGCTCAACGTCGACGTGCATCACAACAAAATCAATATTCTACTCGTCGACGATCCAGTGAGGATCAAATAACTATTGAAACAACACCAATGACACAACAATTACAACGTAATCATCATTTATCAACAGCAATGAAAACAAGTAATGGACATTCAAATCATCTTCGTCGTGAAAGAAAATATGATAGTCTTGATACAGTAACGGATCGACAGGCATCTGTTGATTTACATGGTAGTCTAATCGAGACACGCAATACTCATATGAAACATTTAAGACGTGAACGTCGTGCTGTTAAAACTTTAGGTTCAGTTATGGTTGCTTTTATCATATGTTGGCTTCCATTTTTTGTTCGTTATACAGCATGTGAACCAAATCGTTGTAATTGGAAAATTGCTCCTCTTATTGCAGATATCGTTTTTTGGGTTGGTTATTTTAATTCCATGATCAATCCGTAAGTTAAATACAAAAGAAACTTTCCGAATAACATATTTGATTATTTGTGTGTATTTCAGATTTTTATATGCTTTTCACAATAGAAATTTTCGTACAGCTTTTAAAAAGACACTCAGTCGATCTTTTGTCTGTTGTCGAGAACGTCGTGCAAGTACAACTAGTTCAATTGCATTACCACCAGCAACACCAAGTGGTGAATCACAGAGAACAAGTACCAATATGAGACGGCTTAAAAAGAGTAACTTTATTCGATCGATAACAAGCATTAATGAAAGACAAATTCGAAATAAAAATAATCTAAGTCGTGGAAAAGTCCTTGAAGCATCAAATGGAAATTTAAGTGGCGGAGAAAATAGTTCTTCATCAAAACGTAACTCTTGCCTTTAAATAAACAAATTTTTGTGACAATTGTTTGTTTTTATTTTATTACGCGCATCTATTTTTTCAGTTGTATGTGATGAGTGCAGTTACATAAAAAAATAGAAGCTTACTGTGATTTCTTATCGAGAGCTTTTTTTTTGTTCTTTCTTTTTCTTTGTGCTGAATTTCATATTCGATTGTCATTGTATAGCTGAATGTATAATGCGATGCCGATGTGCTTCATCGCAAGCCCGGTGAGCGATAATCGAGTCTTTTATTTTTATGTTCTAATTGTTAAAGTAAAAAAAAAATAGAATGAATATGATAAACCAAAAATTAAAATGGTCTATAAGGTAATTGAAGTTTTTTTCTTTTTGTTGTGATATAAATAATGATAATAAGTAATAAGTAGAACAATAGTCATGAACGTCATATCATAATAAAAACGAGAAAAAGATTTTTCTTTCTCTTCGACTCAAGTTTTTCACTATGATGTCAACAATTAGCAAATTTCTCTTGTAGGTTTTTCAGTACAAATATGTGGTTTTATAATACAAATGAAATAAAAGAGTCATCAAGAATAAGTTCATATTTATTCGCAAACTCGTCTGAGTAAAAAGAAATTATTTCAATACCTATCCATCTATAGACTAGGCTGTCTCAATTCGATAATCAATGCCATAAACGAGGCTGAAGGATAATAGAAAAGGACTGAATTATTGATAGGTTTCCTAATCAAGCAACAAGACATATCGGCTCCTCTAGAAACAGCTGTTGTTTTTGCTTTTATAACCAGTAAATTGTTTGTGCGTTTCAACACATGTTCTCTAAGTGAGTTTTCAACGGTACGCTAAAGATTATGATGATATTTTCAATGTAGAATATTATATTAAAATCGATTGCGAGAAAAATCAATTTTAATACTACAAAATAAATGCTATCATTCTGTTGTATTGACATTTTTTTAATTATTTTGTTTCGCCGACAATTTATTTTTCTATTCAGCAAAAACTGTAACCACTTTAGTCATCAGTTTGATTAACATTTTTTTCTAAATTAATTTAAAGCCATAATGACTGAACTAATATTGAAAAAGTGTGAACGGATTTTCTTATTATTGCATGATGTTTTACATTAATGATGATGATCTATTTTCAGATACTTATAAAATGATTATGTTTTTCATGGGGATTCAAATCAATAATTATATAGAAGATCGATGTCACTAATTAGAATCAAATATTGTTACGATAAATTCGAGCTTGTATATCGTACTCGAAGAATTGAAAAAAGGATTACACTTTTAATATAGTATTTGTAATATACGTAGAAAATCAACTAAATAAAAAATCCACCAAAGAAATAGTATCTTCTTTGAAATAGACGAACTATTCACTATACAGATCACCATATAAAAACTACTGTTGATATCAAAAGATTAAAATATAAAGATCAGTAGAATTATACAGGAAATAGTTCCTATTTACTCTATTGTCAGTAATACTTGAAGTACATCACGATCTATTTATTTATATTATTGTTGTTTCTTTTTCTGTTATTACATTTTGTCTTTTCGTCTAGTATGTCTTTTAAAACAACATATTTGATATTAATATGTGTCATTCTTGTTTATAAAATTTTAATAAACTCTTTACACTTATTAGTATTCTTAATCAATTGAGCTCAGACAAGTTGAACTTGACTTCACATTTAGCTGATTGCATAATACTACTAGTGATTGTTAATTATAATCTTTGTAACGAACGCAAAGATTCATGGATTACAAATATCTTTTATTGATTATTTAAAAAGCATAGTTTCTTTGACCTTCTCAGCTAAATAGTAAATTGAAATAAATTAACAAGTGAATTGTTAAAAGCACAGATGGTTTTTTCCGATGATGAGAAAAATAGACTATCCTAAAATAGAGATTTTGGATACTCACAAAGGTACATCATCAAGTGATCCGCTCCATTTGTCTCCAAACTCACTATTATATAAGCGATTACTAAAGTAGCGTAAGCTCTAAAGATTTTCTGCTCTTGCTTAAGTTTAGTTGAGCTCGTAAATTTTAGTACATTCATCCAGTAGGAGTCTAATTTTCAGAAAAAAATATATTTCAGAATTTCGATCTGAAATATTGTACACGTAAAGGTTTCGATTAGACTATTTCGTATACAAAATTGCATAAGTTTGGAATATCGTATTCCTAAAATAGAGGTTTTTTCATAGAACTGCACTTTTCTTTAAATGTTGTGTCAGATAGGCATGCATTGAAATTTCTATTTCTTAACAATGCAATATTCAAAATTGATCAAACTTTGTATATAAGATAGTCTAATCAAGATCTTTATATGTAAAAGATTTTAAATCAAAAATTCCAAAGATGAATTCTTTCGGAAACTAGACTCTTACTTGATAAATTTGCTAAAAAGTTAAGTATCTCGATCAAATCTAAGCACGAACAGAAAATTTTTGAAGTTTACACTACTTTAGTAATGCTCACATATTAGCAGAATATGAGAACAAACAAAGTAAATCAACTAAGAATGTTTTCTCGTCAGTATGATCATATGATAATTGAAAAACGATCAATTTTTTCTTATAAAGATACAGAACGTTTCTTAGAAGGAACATTCGACTTTTAAGAACTGAAAATGAACACAAAAATGAACTTTGTGTGATAAGTGAGTTTTTACTCAAACATCAGATGTTCTTTATGACAAAACATTTTTCATGGAAAATAGCGACCTCCTACATAAACATAAAAGAAAAAGACTATGAAAAACTATCTTTGGTAAGTAAGTAAACCAATCATAAGGTATTATCAATATCCTCATTTTTTATTCTTAGTTTAATTTATTTGTATATTCATAATGATCTTTTTCCTTTTGTAGATCTTGTTATAATTATAATGTAATTAGTTTTTAGGAACAATGGTTTCTATTGTTCTTTTTTCTTGAATGAATGTGAAAAAATAAACTTTTAATAAGATGTGTCATTAATTTTGTATAACAATGTAGAACGATATTTTATTAAACACTTAGATTAAATTTTTATTTGATAATGGATAAAATCTTAATCTCAAACATTAATACATATGTTATTTTAATATTTATTAACAATTGATTGAAAAGTATTAATGAAATTTTTTCAAAATATTATTTCTTTGTTCCTATTAGATTTTTTATTTTTTTCAGATAAAACAATGGCAACAACAAATAGAAATCTTAATAATGTTTATTCCAATGGATCAATGTCCAGTAATTTTAAAATAATTCACGATTGGTTTACGTCACTTCAAGTATGTAGCTATTTGTAAAGAAATTTTTCTTGAGTCTTTAATGATGTTCTACCACGTTTCAGGTAATTTTCTCTTCCTCTATGGATAAATGAGGTGCTAATGAAGCTAATATTTCAAAATTGCAAAGTGCTCTTTCGCCTGCTTCTCATGAATAGAGTTGCGTGTTAGTAGTCAAGAAGATACTATGTGTGATTTATAATCTTTCTCGATTTTCTGCTTCTGACAGCGTCGCTAAAGAAACGCAAGGAGAGAACATCTTTCTTTTCTTACCCTCCTTATTCCTACCCCTACTCTATACTATGCGTGCATCTTTGTATATTAATCATGAAAAACGAGTAGTCTGAGAAGGCAACGGCGAGAGTTGATCTTTTCCTTCTTCTCCTCATCTTCCTTTTGTCTTTTGCTGAAGACACAAATCTTTTTTTTTCTAGCCTTACGCTTTTTTATTCTCCTAAGTAACAATTTTTTTTTCAATTTTGAAAAGCATAAGGATTCAGTGTAAGTGATGAGCAGTGCGTTTCCGAGCTACGACATTTATCATCACTTTTCTGTGCTTGATTACACATTTTAACTGATATCTTTGCATGAACTATTCAAATCAAAAATGAAAGGACTGGTCACATTCGTCATCTTTTTGCTTGCTTTCATTCGTTCATTTATTAATTCATTCAAGTCCAAAGTAGCATAATCCATATGTAATGTAGAAAAAAAGACAAGAGAGTAAAAAAAGAATGTACATTAAAGGAAAAACAAGACATCTTCCTCATCAGTCAAAAGATTAAAACGTGAACGAGATAGACGTGCTGAGTTAGGCGACAAAGATTATGCTCGCGCGCACACATTGTTTCTGACAGGTGATGCTCACAGAAAGAATAAAGAAATGAAAGAAAGAAGTCTGTTCGCACGACTAGCTTTCACCTTCTTCATTTTTCTTTTTTCTTTTTTTTTACTCATCTCATCGTTTATATGTGTACGTGGTATCTCCATATTTAAATAACGGGAATGCATCGGAAATCAAAAGAGAAGAAAAAAAGGAAAAAGAGGTGGAAAGCATTCTTCTTCTTCTTTTTTCTAGGATGAGAAAGTGCCATCAACTTTGAACTACAATCCAAAGCTTAATGCTAAAATTCATTTAGCCATAACTGAAGAGCCTTCGGAAGTATGTATCAATAGCTATATGTGATATTAATAATGTTGTATGCTTTTAGTATGTGTCACCAATTTGTGATCATCTTTTTTCACTCTATCATAATGTACAACATCGGCCATTCGTACTTCAATTTCTTCCGTCATTCGTCATAGCCTATTATGATGTTCTTTACGATCATCGTCATCTAGAATCAATTGATGATACAACTAAGGTAAAAACAGATAGAGTGCTATGATACTTGCTCATTATCATCGTTTATTCATCTAATGACTGGGTAACATACACACATCCTTTCCATCAGTATATATAAGAGAAGAACAGGAAGCCTTTTACACAAATTGAGAGAGGAGAGAAAATGAGATAGAGAAAAACAGATAGAGTTTGTGTGAAAGTGCACGCCATACTTCTCTCGAGCAGACAGGCAAAGGCTTAAAGACCCTTTTTTTTCTTTTCCAGTGTTTCATTCTATAAAATATAAATCTGAAGCTAAAACGCCGATCTTGGGTGAAATTTCCGATCTTAAAATCTAATTAAAAAAGAATGTAGACATCGTTGTTTTAGCAATAATAAATCGTCGACGTAAGACATGATGAGAAGAAAAAAAGCATGAAGATTTCATCGTGCGATGATAATATGTTAAAAAGTCTTTTCATTAAGAGAACAATAAGGTAAAAGAGGAAATGAAAGAAACGAGAAAGATAGAGAGTCAAATTGGAAACATGTCAAACAAAGCTAATTTCGCTTTTCATCACCATCATGAACACACACACACAAGCTAAATTCATAATGCGTCTTTGCCTGGAGTCGACAGCCACAGCATCATTATCATCATCACCATTGTCGTTCCTTCTTTTTGACAGCATCCTAGCGTGAATAATCCGGCTGCAGCAGTAGAGATGAGCGGCTTTCTTTTCTTTCTTTTTCTTTTTTCTATTTTTTTCTCTTACCGCCTGATTATCGTTATTAAAAAAAAGAGAGAGTATAAGCATGTCGCTTCATCATTTTTTCTTCATCATTCGATGTGTCTTACTCTTTGCTTATAGGATGTTTGTTCAACAATTGATACTTTCTTTGTCAGTCTTTACAATCTAGTAAGTATGATGATACATACGTAATTGATTTAAAAAAAAAGAACAAGACATTGTCTAAACGGTAGTTAGCTATTGATAACAGTTGTCATACACTAATCTGTATCAGTAGCTCTACTACTGAATAGCCAACATAGGTCATCAACGACGATCTACTAATCATAATAGTCTAACATGTTTTTCTAATAAAAATTGACATAAAACAGAAATATTCATTTTTTATTCTATGCTATAGAGTGTGACAGATGATGGAAATAATGAAAAAACTTTTGAATTTCGTAAGTATTCTATACAAAAAAAAAGATGAAGACAAAGTAGTTTTTTTTATCTATCATTGATCATATATTTTGCATTACTTTCAATAGGTGTTCCAAATTTGGCTCTTCCATCTATTTATCATACACCGAATCCTGTAAGTCTTTCGGTTCATTCTGGCAAAGAAAAATCAATTTATACATATATATATATATAAAACTTAAATAATCTAATCTTTTATTTTCAGCAGACATAAAAATCAATTATCAATAGAGTTTTATGGGAGTGTCATCTTCAAAAAAAAAACCACAAAAAAGGAAACATTCTAATTGAAAAAAAGGAGCAAAAACAATATTCTAAAAACAAAAACAATAAATAATAAAAAAAACAAAAGAAAACTTTATTAATCAAAAAAGGAAAAATCAATGTATAATGATTGAACAATATACAAATAAATATTGAAGATGTTTTTTTTTGATAGAACCAAGAAAATGGATTTTCTCACAAATAAAAAATGGAAATTAACGAGATAATATAAGAAATAGTATGTCTTACTAGAAAAGTAAAGTTTTTAACTTAATTAAACAAAGTATTTAATAATTGATTAAATAAATATTAATGAAAAGAATATGTTCAATAATGCGTAATTAATAAATTAATATATAAATATATTGATTTGTTTCATATGCACATCATGTACTAAGAGAGCTTTGTTCTTAACTATTCTCTTCTTTCAAAACAATAAAAACTTGTTGATCTCTGATAAGATATTTTATGAAACAGGTGTCGATCATCGGAAATTTTAATCAGAATGAAAGCTCAAGAAATTTGATATTATGGCTTTTTGTGACGCAACAGAAAGCTACAGTGAGATAGTCTACTTAACAGCTTCTAATTGATATTTCCATTACAGTATTTAATATGGCCTATGATGATAGCTAAACTGTAATAAATAACATGAAGAAGTTTTTCATTACTATAGAAATGACTTCACATGTTGTGCAGTATTTGAATCTCTGGAGATTGTAAAAGACTTTTTCTAGTTCTTTAATAATAACTAGTGTTTCAAAGACTTCTTTTTCGTGAAATTTCTAGTCAGATATTGAAACCTAATAAAACTCATAATTTCATCAAGAAAATGTCTAATAATAATTTTTTTTTGAAAATCCTATTAATCCAATTGGATTCTGCTTTGGATTGAACATATATATATATATATGTATAAAATATGAAAAGTTTGACTTGATATTTTAATGTATACGAAATCAATAAATTTGTTTAATTTAGGACCATTATGCTCCCACACCGCTCACTCAATATACGATATCGAAACATGAGCAAAAATGTGAAGTTATTCGTTTACAATCTTTTTCTCCACTTGATTCCGTCAATGGAAATACAAGGTAAATTGCACTAATAGAAAACCGAATCTTTATTAGGATTACTATTTCAGCAGTTCAAAACTAATGATCAATTATCGAGGGTTTGTTTCTAGAGATAAATATATACATTTTTTTTTGACTGGTGGAAAAGAAAAAATTAATTATTTGCTATATATTTTGACATAGTTTTTTTTTCAATTAATTGCATGAGGTTTTAATTTTCTTATCTAGCGGTCATATGGAATGGAAAACAGGCTCAAGAAATCGTCATCATTTGTGTGTAGATCATGTGTGTTTGTCTTTAAAAAAAAAGAACTCCTTTGACTAATGCTTCCTAACAGTTATTTCTTTTGTTAAACAGATTTACAATAATAAAAGTTTTGTTATAAAATGCTTTTTCTTTTTCAGAGAACAAATTCTCTGGTTTCTTCTTATTCAATATAGTACAAATATGTCTTCTATCGATAAATATTCTCGCCAATCATATATAAAAATGTCAAAAAAGTAAATACAACATGATAATATTCATTTATATATCATTTTTTATATATTTATTATTAGATTGCTCGGCCAAGGTTTCTCATTTAATGGGGATCAATCATTAAAATCGAAATCAATTCTACCACCAACTGGTCGTCGTATTCATGTATCCAGTCGAGTTATGTCAGAAATATTAGGAACATTATTTTATTTTAAGTAATAAAAATTTTTATTGAGGCAAAAAGAAAAAAAAAATTTTTAATTTTGTCTTAGATTTAATGAATCAGATAATGAAGCAGATGAATGTATGCGTTTATTAAAATATCGTGCAGAATATGAAATGTATCCGGATGTTATATTAGTAAGTGTTACTGATATTTTTTTAAAAATTTTATTTCAATTCATTAGATGACTGAATCAATGGAATATTTACATGAATTTGAAACTCAACGACCTGAACAACACGATACAATTGGTATTGAAATAGAATTACCACCAACGATGGACATAGTACGACAAAAACGAACGGCAACAACAAGACGTTCAATTAAAAATCGTCAACGTTCAAATAAACAAAATGATACAACAGGTACATAAAAAACAAAATCAGAAGTTGTCTTTTTATATTTATACTATTTAGAAAACTTCATAGTTTCATGTTTATAAAAAAAAAAAGATTTATAATTAGCTATTTTGCATCTTTATTTCGCTGCTATTTTGTCTTGTTTTACTTTTTATTATTTAGTTCTGAATGAAACTAATATCGATGATAATATGAATATTACACCATCATCACCATCACAACAGCCCAAACATAATATGGTTGATGAAAATTCTCTAATACCTGAATATAAAAATTATTATGATAATGATAATAATCAATCATCACCAATAATTGATGAAGCACGATCAAATATTTCCTCATCAATTGGTCCAGCTACATCAACACCATCTCCATCATCAACACGGCATTATAAACCAGTATCATTAACATCAACGCAAACTTATTTTAAAAATGTTCAACAACAACAACAACAACAAAGCGGTTCATCACCGATTTTACAACTCAAAGCTATGAAACATGATAATGATGGTCATAAAGATAAAGAATCAATATCAGTGTTAACATCATCACATTCATCTAGCATGAAGCATGGAGGAAAAAAAGATGTTATAACAACAGTTAGATTTATTGGCGGTACATCACATGAAAACGAAACAAATATTGAAGAAACATATCTTTAAAAGTATTTTTTACTTATTTTGTGTGCATGATGATTATTTAAGGAAGCATTCGTTTCACTTTTGTTTGTCTTTCTTTTTATATTGCATTTGTTTTTCACAGATTAAAAAAGTATACGCATAATAAAAAAAAAACAAGTGAAAAGCTGTTTTTTTCGTCTTATTTTTATTTAGTTTAGACATAATAATCTGCTTCGTAGTTTAGTTAGATATTGTCTTGTCAATAATGCTGATTACCGCTTAATTTCTCATAAAGAAAGTCTTCGCATGAAATACATCATGAATTTTTATTCCCTTGTAGTCATTCAATTAAATCAAGAAACACATAAGTAAAAACCCATTAGTTCTATTGCCCCTTCCACCTCCTCCATATACTCAAGTTATGAAATACTTCTCGAAGAGAAAAAAAACAATTGATTACAATTTTCCTTTTATTTTTGACAAAAAATGAAAACACCTTGCAAATATTTTGAAAACAATGTACTCATTTTTCTTTTTCAATAACTGTCATTAGACATTGTTCTTCAGTAAAAACCAAATAGAACGAATAATCCTATGATGTGAACTATTTGTAGATGATGTTATTAAATGTCTTTTTCAAACGAACTTACCGTACAAATGTGAATACAATTCAATGGAATAAAACTATACGAAATCATCAATTAAATGGAAATTATCAACAAGCTTTAAAATTATTTCAAATAGGTATTGAAAAAAAAACTTTTCAACCGAATTCTGTTACTTATTTAACAATGCTTGACATATGCAAAGAATTAAAATCTTTATCAACCTTACGTACAATTCATGATTTAATTGATTCATCAAAAAATCTTAACAACAACAATAATAATAATGATGATGATGATATTTATAATAATCCACGCATACGATCATTATTAATGGACGCTTATATTAAATGTCAAGATCTTGATAGTGCTTGTCGTGTATTTCAATCTATGAATGAACGTAATATAATTGATTATTGTGGTTTAATGACTGGTTTTAATAGTCAAGAACAGTATGAAAAAACTTATGAACTTTCAAAACGAATTCCATCATCAATAAAATATTCATCACCACTTCTTTGTACACTTATATTACAAGCATGTAGTGAATTAAAACGATATGATGATGGTTGTAAAATTCATCAAAATGGAAAACATTTTCTTCCAAACAATAAAATGTTTATGAATGAATTACTTAATTTTTATTTAAAATTTAATCAAGAAAAACAAGCATTAGATATTTTCGAAAAATATTTAAATCAACAAACAATTATTGATTATAGTTTATTAATGAAATATTATAATTATCAATATCAATCACAAAAAACAATTGATTTATATCATCATTTGAAAAAAAATTCACATATTCAAATGGATCATATTATTTATGTACTTGTTTTACAAGCAATAGCTAATGGATGTTGTTTACATACAAGTGAACAAATTCATGATCATATTAAAAAATTTGGTACAAATATTGATATTAATAATGCACTTGTCAACATGTACGGTAATTGAAAATCTATTTAATTGTTATTTATTTAATATGATTGTTAGGATTGAGAAATTTCAAATTGTTTATTGGAAAAACAAACAATTGAATTAATAGATTTTGAGATTTACTATTCTTTTTGCCTGATGCACTGCTTCGTCTTAATAGATTCTGTTCTATCTATGTTACGGATTTATTTATTCTCATCAAAAAGAAATATGTTATCCTGTCTCATGATAATTTGAAGAGAATGGATACTATTACAGAAGATACGTGCGACTGAGACACTCTCACGAATACATATCTCGTACAGAACATAAAACACGAATTTATAATTTGAATATATACTGAGAAAAATGTTCAGCTACTTTTATCATCTATTGAGGTTTCATGAGATCCCAGCCTTGTAGTATTGTACTTCTTGTTTAGGGTCTGGCGTGATCGTGACTATATTTCAATCACGAAAATTTGTAGTAGTAAAAATAGACACATTCTATATTTCTGTTAATTGACTAGATGTTCTACAACACAGATGACTTGGTTTTTTTTGCATAAATTCAGTATTTTCAACAACTTTTTTATGCAATAGTTGATGTACATAAATCACGCATAATGTAATAATAATTTATATTTTGAACAATAATAATACTAAAATAAAGTCAAACTTTACATGAACTATCCTTTTTGTTTTGTTTCGAGAGGTTCATATAAATATCTTTGTTGGAAATTAATCATATTAAATTTTTCTTTGCAAACATCTTTTCATTTGCAGATGAGTTATTCATTATTCGCTTGACTAGATAAATTATGCAATTTAATAGTAAATTGATTTTGTTTTCGTTTCTTTCATTTTAATACATTCTCATCGATTTTACTCATAAAATCGATATATTGGACCTTCGTCAATAATACTTATGATTTATACATAAAAATATGTTCTCACAAACTATAACAAATTTTCATGATTCATGGTCACAGTCACGGGATCTAACTACCGTGACCGTGACTACAAAACTTGGTCACGCCAAGTACTACTTCAGTTCGATTTGATCATTTCATCCAACGCCCTTATTAAGAGAATTTCTCATTCAATTTATGCTATAATCAATATATTGACCAACATTAAAACATGTTTAGATATTTTATCGATCAAAATTCTCTGAGTTTCCAAGATAGAATTAAGATGCTGTTGAAGTCTTTTTTATATGCTGTATTTTTACCGTATTTTTTAACAATATCATAGTTGCCTTTAGGAACACTAGGCATAGTGATCTTCGAATTTCGATTGAAAACTTTGTACAAAGACAGAACTCAATAAGAATAGTTTATTCTGAAAGTTTCAGGTTTGTTCACTGGGCCTATTCTGAGACAAAAATATCTGAATTAGCCATGGTATTTGAGCAATGTGAAGAACATGCTTTTACCATAGCCATATTTTAAGATTGAAACAATTAAAACATCTGAAACTTTTACAATAAACTATTCACATTAAGGCCTGTCTCTATATAAGGTTTCAAATCAAAATTCACAACAGAATTTTCCTGATGTACCTGAGAGAAATGACGGCATGCTGCTAGAAAGTATAGTAAAGATATAGTATCTTGGCAGTAATAAATTATAAACCCGAACTCTTTTCAAGGTACTCATAGCTGAATATAACTTATCCCTTTTCGGTCGGCTATTTGCTAAATGCCGTACCCCTATAGGGGAAAATGTTGCCAAATGGCAACATCCTGTCGGAAAGGGTTATATGATGCAAATAACCCTGATTACAAGCAAATTGCCACTTAGAAACGTTTCTTCATTAGTATTTAACTTTTCTCCATTCATGGTACAAATCTAAAAATTTTCATTAGAATCGGCCATTCGATGTGAAACTGTACAGAAAACGGAAAGACTATTTATGACATATCAGTTTCCATTGATTGTCAATTTCCGTAGGTCTCGAATGCATTCTTCGTTGTTTTGAAGTTTGTAAACAAGGATAAGCTTTACAGATAAAAACAAGAGTTTTATTTTTCTTTTAAGGTAAATTAGGTAATCTAGATCAAGCTGAAAAAATTTTTCACTCAATGTCTAAACATAATATTGTTTCGTACAATGTATTACTTACTCTATATGGTCTTTATCGTCAATCTGATAAAGCCTTAAATTGTTACAATCAAATGTATCAACAAGGTCATCGACCCGATGATAAGACATATGTTATACTTCTTCATACACTAAGTCAAACACCAAATAAAATCAATGATGTAAAACGTATATTTTTCAATATTGACGAAAATAAACGTGGACCTATGTTAACATCAGCAATGATTGCTACATTGATTCGAGCACAATTATTTGATGAAGTAAATGAACTATTAAAAAAATTACCTAAAGAAAATATACTGTTCTATGCAATAAAAGCAAATGTAAATGAAGCAATAGATAAATTTAATTATCCAATATTAGTAACAAATGAACAATTAGCATTATATGATTTATTAATGAGTAATATGTATACATATGGTGGTTTAAATGATCGATTAACAACAATCGATAAAATGTTATATGAAAATAATAAATTAAAAAATATGTTATCATATTCTTGGTTTGAAAAAACGAATGGAAAAATTGAATATTTCAAAAGTACAGGTTCACAATTAGAAAATTGTGAACATACAGAAAAACGAGCAATTGAAAATGCACTAGAAGAACAAAAACACTTGTCATTACCAATTCTTATTGGAAAAAATCATCGTATATGTAATGAATGTCATGAATATTTCAAAAAACTTTCTTTCTCTTCTGCTTCTAAAAAAAATATTTACTTACGTGATTCAACTCGTTTTCATTTATTTTCACGTGGCATATGTTCTTGTGAAGTTACTTGAGATTTTTTTTCGTCTCTGTCATAATGATTGTAGTTTAATGATTAGAAAAAAGACATATTTGTACATAAAAGAAGGTAGTGGTTATGTTCTGAACATTTGTTTTAGATTTATATGAATAAGAGATAACTAAGTATAATAACAATATGCAACCTATTACTAAAAACTCAAGTCAAATACGTTCTTCAACACAATTCATAGCCAATAATAGTTTACCAGCTTATAAATGCGGTTGGCTCTATAAACGAGGTATTCATAAATAAAAATAATATTGCAGCTTACAGAGTCAGATTGACAGAATCTGACATATGTACTTTTTATACAAACTTAGTTTTTTATTGATATGTTTTGTCTTAAGGGGAACATATCAAAACTTGGCGTCCACGTTATTTTATCCTATTTCATGATGGCCATTTATACGGTTATCGTAAATCACTGGCTGTGAGTGATAACCAACAAGAAGAACCACTTAACAAATTTCAAGTTATTGATTGTAGTGTTGTTCGACAAGATAAAATAAAGCAAAATTCTTTTGTTATACATTTCAATCAAATGAAAATTGAAAGATTATTTGCTGCTGGTAGTCATCAAGATCGGTCAATATTCATTTATCCGATATATTTTGATTTTTTTTTTTTTATGAATTTTTATCTATTTCAGTGAAGAATGGATAACAGCAATTGAAATAATTAATCGACAAACAACACCACACTTACAACGACAATTACCAAGCACAAAAATGGTTACAAATGATGATGTCGATAATACAGAAAATGAATATCCATCAATGAATGAAGTATTTTCACGACGACCAGTAAGAGAAAAAAATAAAATAATAAAAAATAAATTTTATTTATTTATTTATTTTGAACAGCAAATAAATGATTTTGAATATTTAAAAATACTTGGTCGTGGTACATTCGGTAAAGTTGTTTTATGTCGTGAACGTACAACACAACGGATATTTGCAATGAAAATGTTACGCAAAAGTCTTATTATAACAAATGTAATAAAAAAAAAAAAATAAATAATTCAATCTTATTTATTAGTATTATTTGTTATGTTCTTACGATAGAATGAAGTTGTACATACTATGGGTGAAAATAAAATCCTTCGTCGTATTCGACATCCATTTATAACAGTAATTGTTTTCAATTTTTTCTTAAAAATATTTCATTGTTTATTTCATTTGTTATATAGAATTTAATATGTGCATTCACAACAAGTGATCGTCTTTGTCTTGTCATGGAATGTGTTAATGGCGGTGAACTTTTTTTTCATTTAAATCGTGAAAAACGTTTTTCGGAAGAACGTACAAGATTTTATGTAGCTGAAATAGCTTGTGTTATTGGATATCTTCATTCAAAAAAAGTTATTTATCGTGATATTAAAGTATGTGAAAATAAAACAAAAAAAAAAAAAAACTATTAACTTCAAATCTTATTCATACATATTTCTGTTATACAATTAGCTTGAAAATATTCTACTCGATCGTTATGGTCATATTAAATTAGTTGATTTTGGTTTATGTAAAATAAATGTACCATTTGGACAAACAACTGCGACATTTTGTGGTACACCACAATATATAGCACCAGAGGTATTATTAAAGAAAAACTTCTATGAAAGGAGATCATAAAAATGTTGAAAAGTGTTCAGAAGTTAAATTCGGTTATAAGAAAAATTTCACATATAGTAGTGGGAAATTCATTTGCAGAGAAAGATGTCTACTCAACAAATGAAGATGTTGACTTTCAAAAATAAATGAAAACAATCCTATGAAACCTTCCCATCGGTTGCCATGATGAAAAAGAACTGTTGATAATTACGGATAAGTCGTCTTGTTGTGTGATTGGATCTTTTGATTTGATCCCCGAGGTATCCGTTGTAGAGTTGAATGAATAATTAGTGAAAGTAGAAGAGTTTAACTTTTAGTATCTGGAAAAAATATAAAAGAAAAATGATCATTTTACAGAGCATATATGATATGCGAAAATATTTTTTCTTCTGTATGTGGTCACTAACTATATTGTTTAAGCATTATTATTATAGTATTTTTATCGCAAAAAATTTTAGAAATGTTTTATAAGTTTTGTGTATTCTTAAATTTTATCTTGTATTGAACAGATTCAGCATTCAGTATTGTTCTACAAGAGTTTTTTTGTAGAAATGAAATTCAGTAGATCTTGTTTAATAAATGTTAATTGAAAGAAAACCTTATTATATGAATAGATTCTTCGAATGACATCGTACACAAATGCAATCGATTGGTGGGGAATTGGTATTATTATGTATGAATGTCTTGTTGGTCGATTACCTTTTGCTGATAGTAAAAGTCAAGATGGTCTCTTTCAAAAAATTCTTCATCATGAACCAACATATCCATCTGGTTTATCAGCTATGGCACTTGATTTAATGCAACGGTTTCTTAAAAAAGAACCAACTGAACGGTAAACCAAAACATATCTTCAATCTATTATTATTTATTGTTTAAATTTTAGTATTGGCTCAAGTGTAGAAGATGCTCATGAAGTTGAACGTCATCCATTCTTTTGTAATATTCCACTTCGTTTCTATGAAGAGAAGAAGGTTCAAATCTTTTTTTTTTGATGAAATAAATTTCAAATAAAGGATCATGTTTCTTTTTTTCAGATTCCACCACCTTTTAGACCACAACTTGATTCAGACATAGACACACGTTATTTCGATACAGAATTTACGAATGAACCAGTTTGTGTAACACCAACTGGTAATAAGAAAAAAAAAACTTTTTTTATTGTGTTTGAAATGAAGTCAACTAATTTATTTTCAGGTAGTACTGATTCTATAAATGCTCTTGGCATGTCAGATGATGAATTTGAACGGTTTGATGTTTTTTGTTCAATTCAAATAATATTTTGATTTATTTAGATTTACTTACGTTGGTAATGATCAGTTAAGTCATATTACATCTCGATCAATTTTATCAATGGCATCATCAAATGCTGCTTGTTCACAATCAAATATGTATCTTGTTGATCCTGATTATTATCATAAACATCAAAATGTTCATAATTTACCACCACAATATTCTGTATCGACAATGAATATGCCATTAATGGGTGCTGACCCATCACCACCATCATCATCATCATCAATAATTAAAAGTGCAACAAGTATGCAACAATTAAAAGGTTCAACTATGAATATAAATAATGAATCAGATGTTTTAAATGATCAACAAAAAATGAATATGGAACAAGATCAATCACAAGCACAATCAATTTCATCAATACCAGAAATTTATGAACAACAATTAATGCATGAACGTCTAATGTGTATACAACAAATGATGGCTAGTGGACAGAATTTTGCTTCGATGTTTAATGATGATCTACATTTTGCTCAACAAATGATGTCTTATATAACAGCTGCTCAACAACAAAATGAACCAGAAGTTATTGAAATAATGGATGAATAAAATGATCACTTGAGTATGTCAGATTTTCTATTGTATTTATTATTAAAAAAAAACACCAATAACCAAACTAGTTTTTCTATCAATAATGTCTCAACTTATTATTTTTGTTTATTTCAAAATTTAGTCCTGGTTTCGTTTGTCAATGAAATATATATATATATATATGAGAAGATTTGTTTTCTATTATTAACTATTATGTGTATTGTCATTAATGTTTTTCTCATGTAGATAAATTCTAATATTAATAAACAAAGATCATTACATAATAATAAAGTAATAATGGATAGAACATAATGTATAGCCATGTTTGACATATCATATTTTCATTGCTCGATACAAAACAAAGTATGAAAAGCTCTACTAAGCATAATGAAAAACTTATTGAATATACGCAAGTGTTTTTCAACCAAATATTAACGTTGAAAATTTAATCATTTATTTTCGTTAAACGATCAATTCGCTTTTATTCTATGTCATTGATTGAATACAATTCTATTCGCTGACAATAATTACTTTTCATTTAACTGTATTTATATGTCCGTTAATAGGAAGTTGGTGCGCAATGGTGCATAAACCAAAAGACTAAATATTCAAAGAGAACTATGATATGATGAAGCCATTTGAAAAACAACCTCATGTCTCCACTTATATTTGAACTCGACAAAATATTCTCCGATGAAAATTATAGTAAAGTTGTTCTTTGAGATATGTAATCTGCGTATTTTTTATTTCAATTCGATAAAAAAACAGAAAAAAGCAATCATTAAAATATGTTTAATGTTTAAATTCGATGAGGTGGTATTGGGGCAGTATCAGTCAATTGATCTCCTAGAAATATAACAAGATGAATAGACAAATTTTTAATATATAATTAATATTTACCATCGAGTGGTAAAAGTGCTTTAATCCAAAATGCATTGAGAAGATGATCAATTTTCGGACGACCCGAATTGGGATGAACAAGAACTGTCAGATTGCCGTGATACATTGAAATAAATGATACAGCTTGAGTAAATTGTTCAAGTGGTAAATAAATACCCCATGAACCAATTGGATGTGGTCTAAATGAAAAAAATATATGAATAATTATTTTTAAAATATGAGATCTATGTTATATACCCAATTGGTCCCATGTTTAATTCCCAATGACAAATTTTTGGACACCATGTTTCACAAACATCATTACAATCATCAACATTAAATTCATTAAGAAAACGATTTCGTAATAGAGTTGCTTCATTTGTTTGATTTTCATTATTTTGTAAGAAGTATACATGAATATGATATGAATAATAGGTTATATTATCATTGATCTTTGTATCTTGCAATTCAAAATTGACTCGAGAAATGAACAAATTATCTATATCATTCTGTCGAATGACATGTCCGTTTGCAAATAAATTAATAGTACAACAAAGAAATACGATAAAACTTAATTTGTTTAACATCTTTTACTTTTCTTTATAGAAGTTAAAATAGAGAATAATAACTCAAAGTTTTTTACTTATAAATATAAATTACTCATGTGACATATCACAAATATTGCAAGTTTAGTATGACAGAAGCAAAGATAAAAATAATGGACTTTCTTTAAAAAAGATAATTGTCGTAAGAGAGTAGTCGGTACGATTGTAATAACTCCTCCTCTCATTTAGCCAACAATGAAGAGTAAAAATATATTGAAAAAAAAAATTAACCGTGCTCTTTTCTAGAGTATTAGAACGAAGCACAATTTTATTTATGAAGATGAACAGAAAACATGGCAAAAGTTCTCTTTATTGTAGATAATCAAGATCTTGTATAATGTTAAATATATGTTGAGACTATTCAATAGAAACTATTAAACACCTGTTTGAACAACTCGATTATCCAAAACACTATTAATCATTGTCGAAGAAGTATTGTTGGAAGAATTTAATCCATGTACAGGTGAAAAAAGTTTATTCGTCAGCTGTTGTTTATTACTGTTCTTGATTGAATTATAACAATAATGTATGTCGTCATCTTCACTTTCTAATCCTGATAAATCAAATTCAGTTGTTACATACGGGAAATTTTTAAAACCAGGTTGATTAGGTTTTTTTATGGTACCATCCGTTTCGTGCTGTTTTGTCCAATGAGTACAACCCATATGTTGTGTTAACAGCTGTAATTTGTGTGTAAAAAATCTCGTTTAATATCTTTAAAGAGATAACATCATACACGTGTGATAAACAAATATACTATTTAGTTCTCTTTCATGTAATGATAATGTTAAATCTTAAAAAAAAAAATATTCATTAGGGTTTATCGTGATAAACTCATTTAATTACACAATTGTAAGCGAAAACAAAACAGAATTTACAGAAAAGCAATCTAAATCAAGAATGAGATATAAAACATTTGCAGATCGTACGTTTTCATAGACCAAATCAATAGTTTATTTCCTGAAAACATTATATCGTATATAATACCTATACAAGCAAAATAGTGTAACAGGTTTATATTGCTTGACAATACATTGTACTTTTGTTGTAATAATATCTTCACGCTTCACTACTTACTTCAATCATGTACGTATTCGTATATTTGTCTACCATATTTACTTGATACTACTTCATATCAGATATTAAAATGATAAATACGTAAAATTTTTGAGTCATTGAGAAATGGTTCATTGGAGAAATTAAAAATTTATTTTGGAATGGAACTATGAGCACGATAAAGTATTTCATTCTGTCATTTCAATATGTCAACTTCTCTAGTATAAGTTAGAGCTCATAAAAGCCGTTGATTCTACTCTAGTGTAGTATCAAAACAGAACATTTGTACTGTATAAAATTAAATTCTTAGATAAGAACAACTTCGTGTTGATCGATTGACATGTGGTGTCCTCTAACTTTTGTTCATATAAAAAAAGATTTATGAACAATTTTATTTTGTCTTCAATTTTATTTCTAATTATGTTTTATTTAAAAAAATTTTTCTTCAATAATAATCTATTCTAAACAATGAGAACATGGTTTGTCGCTATTGTAATCATTGTTTTAAACCAATTATTGAGCATCTTTTCAAGTCCTTTCTTCTCGAGTATTTGTCTCGTCCTCCATCGTTTTTCTCACGATCAGTCTATTCATAATCGTCGGTTATGTGTTTGTAAAATGTGTACATACATTTATTTATGTAAAAGTACATTCGTTTAATTTTATTTCTTAATTATTTTTTTTAGACTGATTTACAGTTACATCTAATCACCATTGTCATGAACCATTATCCAGCTTTTCTTCGTCCGTACAATGGTAAATCAACGAATTCAACTAGTAATTCATCATCATCTAATAATGAAAATGATGAAAATTCATCAATAAAAAATCTCATTTTTAAACATTTATCTAAAGTACAACAAGGTTCTTCAAATAATAATCATAATAATACAAAAGGAGCAATGCGTGGTATTCTTGGTGAAGTTGGCAACATGACATTGTCGAATATACAAATGACATCCATAATAACTAAACCAAAAATAGTTCAACAACAATCAGTAACAACTATTGTTGAAACAACATCAACCGTAACTGCACCGCCACCAGCGCCACCACCACAGTCACTATTAACATCAATCATACCGATAGTTGTAAATAAAATCGAAAAAGTTACTTTAGATGATAATAAACAAATTGATGAATGTATGCCACATGAACCAATAGCAAAACTTACAAAAGTTCCACCAGAATTTGATTGTGATAGTGGTGATTCATATAATATAACGACTGTATCGGAATATGTTGTTGATATTTGTAAATATTGGCGTGAACTTGAACAACTTACACCAATACAACAGAATTTTTTATTAAATCGTACTGAAGGTAAACAAACCAAAGGTATATATATTTGATTGAAGTGTCTGATGTTGTTTTTTTCATAGGCACAGCTTCACCTCAAAATCGAGCCGTACTTATTGATTGGCTCTATCAAGTACATGATCGTTTCAAACTTCTTTCAGATACATTTCATATGACAATTCAGCTTATCGATCGTTATTTACAATTAATTGATGTCTCAAAACATGAATTACAACTGATTGGATCCACTGGTACGAATCAAAATCCATAGTTTTCAGAGAAAAGATTTCAAAAGAGAACTGAAAATAATTCCAAAACTGGTATAAAGAGTAATCAAATTTGATCAATGGCATTGAAACTTACTGTTTATCAATATAAAATATAGCTTAGAAGAAAATTATACTTTCGAGAGAACTAATATGATTTATCGTTAACATTGTTTATCCTTGTTTAATGACCGTACGCTTCATGCAAAAATAGTCAGGCAATGAGGCATTGCATATTTAATCGAAAAAAAAAATTTTTTGATTCTAGTTGAATAGTCTACGGTAGTTTCCGGTCGGAAACTTATCGGATATTGACTGCACAAATTTAATGCATGAATTCATTAGCTAACTATGCTCGGTTCCAATCGCAGAAATCATTGAAACTGACTGCAGAGCTAATTCACCTTCGATAGTGTCATATTTTCAAAAATTCCCGTGTTCAGTATTTTGGCATAAACGACAAACGTTCAGCCAAGAAAAAAATAAAATATTCTTGTCTGGTGATTCTAAATTATGAATTTTTCTAAAAAGTTAAATCTTTTTTTCCCGCTTGCACACCAAACAAGCATGCTCGTAAATGAGCGTATATCGTCATATTTTTGCGTATTACATGACTCTATTATACTGCATATTTTGCCGTATATATCGTTTTGAGTATATAAGCAGGGTGGTCTATAAATCATTAGACGATGAAAAAACTCAATATTTCTACTCTGCTTCAATTAATCAAGCAGATTTTTGTCTCGTTAATAGAGTTCTCTTCGAAATTTTTATTAATGAGGAAACCATCAATAGATACTACCTTGATTTAGCACTTTTGATCTCGATAAAGAAATACACTACTAACGAACATCATTGAGCCATTCCGAACCATATACATTTGAAACTTTTAGCTTATGTACTACCTCAGAAATGCAGGGCTCACAAGACTCGAGTCTGATTTTAATCGCTGGAGTTAAAGAGGAATTATTATATATGACAGCTTATCTTAGTATCAATTCCTCCATCGAAGAAAAGATGACATTGATGACATGATCAATCTATCATTATGTAAAATATCCACAACTTGTGAACGCTTCGATTTAACTCGATGAACTTTTTAGCGTATATAGCTCTGTGGAACGACTACATGATGGCAGGTTACATGTTTCATAGGCTTTTTTTTCTTCTTGGGTTATAGACGTAACGGTAAGAGGATTTGTCAAAGATTGTAATCCCTCTTCAACTCAAACGGTCGGGTGTCACCAAATTAACGTAAGATTCATACATGTTTCCTATTATTGACATTGAGGCATAGAGTTTTGTGTTTTCTATTCTGACTATTGAGTGAAAAAAGTTTTCTTGATATATCGAAAAGAAAATACGAAGTTATAACAGCTCTCTCTGCGTCTTTTTAGATACGAGAGGAAACAAAATTCTCTTAGGGATCATCCATTCACAACATATAGGTAAAGAAAAAGGAGATCCTTCAAATCGGAACATTGGGTACGGAAGTGAAGCACTTCAGAATGTCCAGATACTTACTATAAGCATTTTCCTTTTTTTTCACACACCTTTTTGCGTTGTTTTGAGGTCAACTCGTTGTGAACAGTGATTGTAAATAGGAACTGAACTTACTCAATCAGTTGATTATGAAACTGATGTTGATATAATTCTAGATTATACTAAATGGACAATCTACTAATTTCCTTGAGTAGTAATACGAACATTGTTAGATTTTCAAGTAACATCGGTTTCGAACTTAATTTGTTGTTTTTAATATTTTTTCTATTTTCTGCTCATTAAAGTATAATTTATTAAGAAACAAAAAAATGCAATAAGGTAGATTTTTGTTTGTTGTTTATCAAATGTGTATTTTATTGTTAGGTGTGACAGAGAGTTACCGTAAGACACGCTGACACATTTTTAGAACCTTTCTTACGTTTCATATTGAACGTCCAGAAGAGAGAGAGAGAGAGGAGGAAATCGATGAAACTGATCAAATCTGGACAGGGGGACGAGATTGAGTCAAAAATGTGGTTTTTAATTTGGATGTTGTTAATAGATGACGCCTTAGATTTATCAATTAACTTATTAGGGACATACACCCAGACGTCTTTAAAAGTCGTTTTCACTTGGAAAAAATATTGCGATTTGTATATCTTCCTAGATATTTATTCTGAATATATCCTTTTTGTCTGTTCAGCCTTATTAATAGCATGTAAATATGAGGAAATGACAATTCCTGGTATGAATGATTTTGTCTATGTATCTGATAATGCATATTCAAAAGAAGATATGAAAGAAATGGAACGACGTTTAATATCAACATTATCATTTGATCTTGGTCGACCATTATCAATAAATTTTCTTCGTCGTTATTCAAAAATAATTCAAGCAACTGATATTGAACATACATTAGGAAAATATCTACTTGATTTAACTTTTATTGATCATTCGTTATCACATTTATTACCATCATATGTATCAGCATGTGCATCATTTCTTTCACGTTATTTATTTGTCTATAAAGGCACAACATCATCAATATCTATTTCATCATTAATTGAAAATATTTGGCCAAGTAAATTTATGAATTATCATACTGGTTATACATATGAAGAACTTCGTCATGGCATTAAACAATTAGGTCAATTACTTATTGGACAAGATACAACAAAATTAAGAAGTGTGCAAAAAAAATTTTCTCAAAGTAATATGTTTTCAGTTGCACAACATAGTTGTTGTAAAAGTGCTTATGTACAAATAGCACTTTCTCGTCTATCAAAATAAATTTCTACTCTAGAAAAGATAATTAAAAACAACAACAATAACAAAAAATAATAATCTTCTTTTATTTGTTAGATATATACATATATGAGTACCAATGAAATATTTCTTTTTTCTCTGTTTTCTTTTTCAATGTCAGATAAATGAATGAAAATTAGGAAAAGAAAGAACGGTGGTCTAGTCAGGTGTTGTATTTTTCCTTTTTTTTTTTTCTCCTTTTTTTGCTCTATATATTACACTGTTATCGTTACTATTATTCTTCTGTTGATTTTTCTTTTTTCTTGAATTATATGTGCAATTGATCAGATATCTTGTACACTTTGTTACGTTCTTCTATCTGATTATATGTATTGGAATAACAAGTTAGATTAGCCTTTAAAAAACTTATACTCTGTGAATATGTGTGTGTTACGTTTTTTTTTAACTTAGAAAATTGTATTGATGGACTATAGGAAAAGTCATTAGCGTTAATTATGATAGAGAACAATAATATTATTGAACGCGTGTGTGATTATCACAGATGTGTATGTCAGATATATGTGAATAAAACAAATGAATGACTATTTCTATGATTTTCTTTCTTTCTATTGTTTTTCTTTTTCATCGTATTATATGTTTTTTTTTGAAATGTATAATTGAAATAGATTGTTATTATTGAAAAGCAATTAATTATTTGGATTTGATAATTTAGAAAATAATGAAGACGAGAGTTTTCATAGCTTATATTAAAGTAATATTCTCCTTTAGAAATATAATATTTTTCATAGATACCATGAATGACTAATATTCTGTAATTGCATAACTAGAATACTTGTTTTTTACAACATCGTCATTCTTTTGTTTTCATGAATGGATCAAAAGTATTTTTCTTATTCATTGTAGATTATGGCAGGAACTACAATTGATTTGAACTTAAATAATACAGATGATGTTGATGAAACATTTGTTTCACATAAAAGTGCCGATCCTGAAACTGAACAATTTGATCAAACAATCGGTCTTATTGAAGATATGATTATGGATGAAGAATTTCGTTCTATTCAACAAGCATTTTTAACTAAATATGCTCATGAATTTGATCCTGATTTAGATGAAAATAAATTAATTTATACTGATATTCATCGAGAATATTTAACAATAGTTGAAGATTTTGTTATAAATAAAATAAAACGTTCACAACCAAATTTTAATCTTGATCTATTTATGAAACAATTAGAATCTCGACAAGAAGAATTAGAAGAAGAAATATTTGAGTTTCTTTTAACATTTACCGATTTTCTTGCATTTAAAGAATGGATGCTTGATCATCGTCGTTCATCAACATTACAAATGTTAGATATTAATTCATGTTTGCAATCAATCAGTTTACCTAGTGCGCGTGGAACAAATGCAACACCATTACTTGATCAAGTTAAATTGGATGATGATAATTCAACATCAAATCAACAACAATCAACAGCTTTTGATTTAGGCATTACAGGAACAAAAATTAAAAAGCCTCAAGATCCAAAAAAGAAATAAATTTTATTATTTGTAAAACTTTTTTATAAAATAAGAACAAGAAAAACATGTATACAAAGCATTTTAAACCTTAATTATTCTATAATATTCCGTCCATTTCAAAAAAAAAAATATACATATATATATATATATATATATATATTGAAATGAACTTTGTATTTTGGCCAAATGTTTTGTTTTTTTTTCGTTCTTTGCTTTTGCTATTGATCACCTTCAGTGAATGACTAATAAAATATGTACTTAATATGACACTTATATCTAAGAGTAAATACACGAGATATAAGTACAAGTGCTTGACACATCTAGCATCAAACTCCACATTTTAGATAAATATTGAATTGATCAACATAGAGATAATGGTTTCAAAACATTTGTTTCAGATCGAATATATATAGATATATAGAGGTGATGGCTCGTGAAATTCGTTTTGTTGATCGATCTCTAGTAACTGGTTTATATCAAATATTTTGTTCTAGTCCTTTTTTAGCGCTATGCTCATTTGCAATTATTATCGGTATTTCATCTGTGATACCATTAGCATTTATTTGGTTGATACAATCTGTTTTCTTGGATAATTCTTTTATTTCAATTGAATCGCCTTTTTTACGTATGACATTTACTATATGGTCAATAGCTGAAGTTATTTTTTTTGCTTATCAATGTTATTTATTTACAAAAATTCAAAATCAAACAACAGCACCGCATCTAACATCAACGGAACGTGATCAACTCGTATCTTATGCACTTGCAAATATAAAAAGTGTACCACAAACATTAAGTAAATGGTTTATGGATTGTCCTTTTCAAGATATTGATCGAGAAAGTATAGTAGGGTGGCTTGCATTTGCGTTTTATTCTAAAGAATATGAGGAATTAAATGATAATGAATATAAAGAGATTAATGATTTTATTGAAAAACTGGAAGATCAACATCAATTAAAAGCAACTACTGATAAATCAAATAAAAAAATATTTTTTATGAAACATATTCTGGATCCTGTTCGTGTTATTTTTCGTCCATTAGTTTTCTATTTTGTTACGGATACAATATTAAATGGGATCCTTAATAGAAGTATTTTCTATCTAAGAGGATATCAATTTGTTCAAATAGGTCATTTGCAATTTTGGACATATTATAATAAATCAAGTCATGAAAAAGAAGAAGAAGAACCAATTATTTTCTTTCATGGCATTGGTGCTGGTCTACTTATATATCAACCGTTTATCTCATGTGTTCATCAGAAATTTTCTCGGAATCGTCGTATTATACTAATATCAATGAGTTGTGTATGTATGCGTTATCCATCTTTGAAAGATATTCCAAATATGTCTGAAACAGCTGATTCAATGAAACTGCTATTTGATTATTATAAAATAAATAAAGCGATCTTTATTGGTCATAGGTTAGTTAAAATTTTTAAATATTCAATGAAATTTTCTTGCTTATCTCTAGTTATGGAACTGCATGTCTTTCATGGATTGTACAAAAATGTCCACAATATATATCACGTTTAATCTTTATTGATCCGATTTGTTTTGCATTATTTGAACCATACGTTGTTTATAATTTTGTGTATCGTACGCCATACAAATTGCCTCATCTCTATATGTATTATTTTGTTTGTCGTGAGTTGGGTATATCATATGTGATCAGTCGTCATTTTTGGTGGACACAAAATAATTTATACATTGAACAAATACCTTCATGTTCAAATAAAAAAATTCCGACATATATTTTTTTATCTGGACGTGATTGTATTATCAACGCAGATTTAGTTCGAGATTATCTTATTAATAATCATATTGACTATTATTGGGCACCAACTCTTTCTCATGGTAGTTTTATGCATGATAATGTTAGTTGGAAAAAAATATGCGAATGGATTTCATGATAATTAGAGCTTTCTTCAATTTCTTGAACATTATTAATTTGTTTCTGTGATTGCTTGTCTGCGATAATCATTTTAACGCTTTTTTTGTGGAACTCACGTATATTTTCGAAGAAAACATTGATTGTAAGTTTTAAAGGGATCGCCATTTATTTCTTTCAGGATGTTACAATCAGAATTTTTTTCGATCTTTTGGTTTTTCATCGCTAATATAGCTTGAAAGTGTCCTCTGTCAAAGGTCATATAAATAAGGGTTCTTCATTGTTAATTGGTACTTTTATTAAATCGAACTCTTGAAATCCCTAACAAAAAGACTCGTGTTGTGATTATTGTTTGTATGCAAAACTCTTTCAATGAAAATGAATGCTTTTCATTCCGAAGATGCTGAGAGCATAGATCATGGACCTCTAACATCATTGAACACGATCGATATTTGATTACTTTAGTTGGATAAAAAAGAAGTCCTGATATATATACAGAAACGTTTATTCTGTGTTTTCCTCCAAATCTTGTTTTGAACAAAAAAACTGAAGTTCTCCTCTTTTTGTTCTCTCACGATAAGTCTGATTGGACTCATTTTTTTATAGGTACTTTGGTCAAAGTGGAATGTATGACATTTTTCTTCAGAATATTGCTCCTATGGAACTCAGCAGCCTATAAAAACCGGATATTATTGGAAAAAAAACATGTTTTTTGACGGTATTTTCAGCATATTTCTTCTCCTGAGATTTACGAACAATATTTTTTAGAAGAAAAAAGAATACGCACCTCCATTTGGTTCTGATTGTCATAAAAAGTTGCAGCTTGAAAAAACGAAGCATAAAGTTTTGTGAGGATAAATCTTTGGCCATATAAGGCCTTTGCAATCTCCCTGTATCTCCTTGAGGGAAGCATCTAGATACTTTGAATCTGTGATAACTTTTGTTCTACTTATCGAAATTTATCTGCTTTTAAAGTTTCATCATTGTCCGTAGAATCGTTCCGAGGAGAAACTCTAAAAAAAGCAGAAGAGGTGGGCTTAAGTCAAAGTTTTGTGACACTCGTCCATTACAGACCTCGACAACCGCAATGAAAGGCACTGAACGACATTAATAACGAAGCTTAAAAAGTTCTAGAACATTGCAGAATCTTTCTTGAAATTTAAATAATCGAAATACGTTTTTTCATATTCTAAATAACGCAGTTTCCGATATTGATGAAAATAAACGATTATATGATAAATATCAAGGATAATGCTTTGGTTTCTCACAATTATCGTATGACCAGAACAAAAGAATGAACTGGTTAGGCTCTAATTTTCAGAAATAATCAATATCACTGTGTCCGAGTTCATCAGTATACTTAATAAATTGTTAAGATTTATTGTAGATATAATGAATTTGTGTAACATGCTTATTTGTCCAATAAATTAATAATAAGACTAAGAATGATCGATGATAAAGATGAAATAAAAGAAGAAAATAAATATCAATCGAATCGCAACAAAAAAAGCTTGTTAGCGCAACCCCTTGGAGGCTGAAATGTGGAACTCACATATCTTCTTTAGTTTCATTGTACTAATGACAAAATATATAATGTTTAAATTCTCTCAAAGACGATAATTCTTTCCTAATGATAATCGATTGTCAGCAAACGTTGTCTTTTTTTATTTATATACTTCGAACAGAATTTTTTTTGTGAGGTTGCTATGGTCTTTAGTGGGAGCCTGTCTGTAAGGGATGGGGGTGGGAAGCCGCAAAACCTTGAACTTAAAACTTACACTCACTATTTTCTTCGAAAATATATGTGAGTTCCACAATCAAAATAAAAGAAGAGCACGATTCAAAAAAGCAGAAAAACTTCTGTTTCAAATGTAGAAATAAAAGCGATCTAAAGGTTGCTAACAATCGATTATTGTTGAAAACGAACTGTAATGTTGTAAAAATTTAACACTTTACATATTTTCTACTAGTATAATCAAGCCAAAGAAGATATGAATTCTCCATTTTAGTCCTAAAGGAGCTGTACTAACAAGTTTTTTTCGTATATTTGCCAGCGTAGACTGTTATTTTTCTAGCTTGCATATTAGTCGCACTTTTTCATTTAGGCATTTACTTGTCAACTGGACTTCACGAGTCAAAAACAAAATTTTCGAAGATTAGTTAAGCCATCGTTCAATCTAATGATAAAAAGCCTGATGTTTAGGGTAGTCCAATTAAAAAGCTTTCGTGAACTATTTTAAAAAGATTTCTAATAATATAGAGATAGATTTGTTCATAATTTGACATTGTTTTTGATACATTTCGGCTTAATGGAAACTCACAAAAAACCTACACAATCAATGGCTTTAATAATTTCAATTGTAACTCGGAATAATGAGATACTAAGACTTAACTTATACAAAATAATCATTTGTCAACAAAAAAAACTCAATTATATAGTTAAAAATAATGATTTTACAACGACAACGTCTTCCATAAATTTTTCATTAGGATTGGCTCACCTACGATCATGTATTCATCTTACCAAAACATAGTACAATTCACATCAGAAATCAACGTGAAGAGACTAATATTTATATAACTAGGTCGTTTATTCATGCTTGATTACCACTGAACAAGCTGAAAATTATAGCAAAAATATCCTGTTTCAAAGATATAAGTTGGTTTTTATGACTTGTCCTTGATATCTTTTTAGTTCAGCTATGGTTCAATATTCAAATGTGACTAAAAAAAATATTAATGTCACCAATATACTGTCAGAATGAAACACTTCAAAATTAAAAGAGAAAACCGAGTTATTTTTGATTGTTTAACTCAATGTTCTATTTGTTCTATGATTTTCATATAAAATTAACAAGTATTCGTAATATTTTGTTTTGACATTCATAATTTCATTAAATTATATGCGAATAAAAAGATTTCATATGGGAAGCTTACAAGTAACTTTCCTTCTATTATTCGATATATTCACATGATAAAAGAATTTTCTGCTTCCATGTTTATAGTTATGTTGTTGATCGTCTAAATCTATTTGCTGTTGACATATCATGTGCATGACAACGGATATAAATTATTAAAAAAGAAAATAGCCTCTGTTGCAGTAATGTCATTATGACAGATTTCTATTCATAGTAACCAATTATCATAGAAATTTCTTGTGCAATCCATCTAGCATAATCATTTTTAAAATCATTCAATGCTAATTGGAGATGTTCGACCAAATATGCTAGCGTATGTGAATCGATTCGAAACACATAAGTTTATTTTGTATCATCAGTATCACTGAATAATATCATTTGAAATATTAAAACAAGTCATATTGCCTATGACCTAGGGTCTGAGGCGACAAACTTTTTTTGAGTTCCAAATGCTCTTCAGAACAGGACAAACGAAGTACTTTGGAATTCAGGACTATCCTGCGGAACTCTACAATGATGCCGAATAATTTTCATAGTGATCTAAAGTTTAAAACCATGAATCATTTTATTTCTTAAAAAAAAATATCGATAGGCATATTTAGACATCAACACATTAATTTAACTGTTTGTAATGAGCTATTGACAGCAAGAGATCATTGGTAAGTATTGTTTTGTAATTAATTAGTTTCCAATTGATAAAATTCAATAGAATCTTGCTAAATATAAGTAACATAGCCGAGTAGTTACAATCATTAATTGATGGTGATAATAATAACAACAATAATAATAATAGAGCATTAAAATCATACTTCAGTCTTTGAACATTCTGTGTGCAAAACTATAAAAGACTATTAGTTGTTGATCGAACTTTTTCAGTATCTCACTGGAGATGATCTTATAAGATAAATAGTAACAATAGAAAACTTGAACAATATTTGTTGCAATTTTAATAACTTGCTGCAATAGTAAACGATTTTGTATTGATTTCTATAGTTAAGTAATCCAGAGTAGCAATGCAAATACTTACAATAGCCAAAATTCAAGATACTTCCAGGTTCGATATCTTTGTGATATCATCATATATAGAACATAATTGAACGTTATGTATTTAAAATACAATGATGCTATTTGAAGTTCATGTTCCACAAATAAATCATAGTGAATTCCTTTGTATCAGATGACAAAGAATAATACATTTCAGTAATTCAATACATTTTTCTGTTTAATATTGCTTGAAACATAATTTTACTTTTCAGAATATTAAAAGTGATAAAAAAGGAAAAGACAATGCAAGATAAAGATATCTAGTAATTAAATAAAACAATATGAATTCTTCTGTTGAAGAACCAAAGAATCGATGCGACAGTATTAGAGATTTTTGATAGTATAAAACTAAACTAAGAGAACTATTTGTCTACGTGACACATTACGAACTTCATCAATCTTATTTAAAAACTCCAGCTAAGCTTTTTGCTTATCATCAAATAGGAAATGAGTTGATGTTGTTGACATTTGTTCTAAAAAAATGAAAGAACATACAAGCAATGAAGATGACAACTCTATAAATGATTTACGATTCAATTATTGCCGTACCGTTCAACGATCTCTTGTGCCATATCTTATATATAACTGTGTAGTCAATTGATTACATTTATTCTGTATTCTTTTGTTATGTCTTCTAACGTTTTCATTTTGTCGATTCAACATTATTATAATAATCAATTATATTTTATTTTGTTCCGTAAAGGTTTCTTTTTTTAACTTCCGTACTTACCTTTACTTAGTCTTTCATATATCGAGTTTGAATGTATGAATATTACAGCATACCTGTATTATGAGATATTGTTCTTAGAATCTGTTATTTCCATTCATAATTTGTAGATTATGTTATCCAAAACGATGTATTAAATGACGCCAGCAATAAAATTGTTCATTTTGGGAGTCAATTTGCTAAGAAAACAAATCTCAAGGGAACATATATATTTTTTGTTTTTGTTATGATGATTATATATATAATAGAGTCATATTCATATGCATATATTTGTATTTGCGCATAATCTTCGTGCAAATATACAAGAACAGACGAACCAAGAGAGAAAAAACCCAGAACATAAAAATATAAGCAGAAAACAATCACAAAAAAGCCTATTGCATGATAGAGTCATTAACCCGCTGTCATCTCTCGTCAAACGTTACTTCATTTTTATCATGGTCAAACAGCCAACTATTTGAGATGATTGACAGTGTCATGCATCGTCCCGTGATATTATAGTCGAAACTTCATGCCCACCAATAATAGTAGTAGCTTGTGTGAGGTAAAGTGAATGTGCTCGACGATGTTCATGTTTAAGATTATAACGACGTGAAAATACTGTTGAAACATAAACGAGAAGCCAAACTGTAACAATTAAAGATATTAAACCAATATAAGGCAGTATAGCATATTGAAGTGTAAATGAACTTTCACTATTAATATATAAAGTTGTTGAATTATTAGAATTCGTCACCCGATAATCCTATTGAATAAATATAAATAGTGAACGATAAACGATAGTATTGATTCTTAAATGATCGATTTTTTACCATTGATAAGGAGACACGATTAGCGTCAGTGGTTATAATAACGACCGCCATGCCGTCTTTCTATCAACAAAAAATTACCCATGTTTTTGTTAGCAACCTAGCATATACATATATTTGCATATATATATATTCCTACAGCTCTCTCTTCTCTTTTACGTTTGACCTAATATTTTTCTTCTATTTCTTTTTCTTTTCATTGAGTTTTATTCTATTTTTTTATTACAATATGAGAAAATGCGTTCGGTAACAGGATCATTCTTATTTAGAGATTTATTTTATTCGCTCATTTTGTTTATTCAATAATAAAAGAAAGAAGAGCAAAATAATTATGACGTACTATTGTCTATTATGAACAAAACTATTCAAACCTTGAAATATAAATTCAATCCGTATAAATTAGTATTTTGAAACACATATATAGATGATTGATCAATATATGATTTTTTTTTCTTGTAAAAAGAAGTAATCAAACAATAATGAATTTACAAATTGAGATCTATGACTTGATCTAAACTTATGAATGTCAAATAAATAGGTTTCCAGCATTTGCCTATTTACATTTGATGATTAGTATTCATTTGATGCTAAAAAAAAAGCAAATCATGATCGTTATTATTACTTATTGTTCGTCAATGATTAGTGGTGCTTATTCTTACACGCCAATAAATTCTTTTCAATTTCTTTTCTTTCATTTTGAAAAAAAACTTCCCAATAACGTACGCATACAATTGTTATATTTATGAAAAATTCAAAATAAGAAAGTCATCATAAGTTAATGTTCTTATTATTTTCTTTAATTCGAATTGATTTTACTTTGAATCCAACTATTATAAGCACTTGTACGTGTGTAAACGCCTGGATAATTTGGAAGAGCACAATCATTACCAAAACTAACTACACCTGATAAATACCATTGTCCATTATGGTTATACATCAAAGGACCACCACTATCACCTTGACAACTATCTTTACCACCTAAATTTGGTATACCTGCACCAATTTGTCGTTGAACATTAAAAGAATTTGAATATGCTGCACTTGCTTGAGCATTTGTAACTTTAACTGAAACTTGTCGAAGATGAGTTGCTAATAAACTATTTTTATATACTGTTCCCCATCCAGCTACGGTTACTGTTGCTGATTCTTGTGGATCAGGTCCAGGTAAACAAATTAAACGAACATAATCATTCAATTGAACTGGTTGAGATAAACGAAGAATAGCAATATCATGAGCTTGTGTAGTTGTACTATATTGTTCATGCATAAATATACGTGATACACCTATATTTTGTGTGCGTCCTGTATTTAGATTTTGTCGCTCATGTAAACCAGCAATGACTCGAATTTGACTGCTACTAACTGACGTTAAACAATGAGCAGCTGTGAGTACATGACGTGTATCAATCAAAGTACCACCACAAAAATGATCACGTAATTGTAAAGAAACAATCCATGGCCATGAGTGTGGAGTTGCTTCAACACCTCCAACAATACGTTGACTTGATGGAGTTATTGATTGGCGACCACAGTTGTTAGCTGTTGGTACAGATGGTGATGTTGTTGCTAATGTTTGTCCAATAGCTGTTTTTGGACAACAATAACGTACTCTATAATCAGTACATAATTTATCTTTAAAACCATTTACTTGTTGATTTAAACATAAAAATCCATCTTTGATAGTAATACGAAATACATCACTAGTTTGAGCTGGATTTCCACCTTGTAAAGTTTGACCCTAAAAGACATAAAAATCATTTTATTGATTGTCTAATTTAAAAAATATATATATATATTTACTTCAATAGCAATGGGTGATGGACACATATATAAGGGGAATTTGTGTTGAATATGATTAGTAATTTCAAATTCACCTTGTCCTATATTTGGATCACTTACATCAAACCAATTTGTCCATTGATTATTGTCTGAACATGCAGATTGTGAAAATGTTGAAGGATCAAATACACCTTGACTGAATATACCAATGCTCAGTTGAAGTAATAATATTGTAATAAAAAACATCCTTACGAAGATAGAAATATGTATTAAATCAGTTGACAATCAACTTTTTTCATCAAAATAAAACAATACGTGAAATATATGTAGTGAAATTGGATATGAGTCAACAAGAAATATTTATTCATTTTAATGGATCAAAAATATTATGAAAAATGATCCAAGGTCAATGGATGTATTTTAAAAGTGCTTAGCAATGATGAATATTGCAATATTAGTCAATACATGTGCTTTTATGTAGGTGGTGTACGAAAATAATATTAGAACTGCTGACATTCTCTATGAAGGATTAACTGATCTTACAGAAAAAAAAATGAATGGAAGATAAATTTATATTTCGATAGAAATTACAAAAAAAATCTCCAGACGAATATTTAATTCTATTGAATGAATAATACTATATCAAGAGAAACATAGAGATAATTATTTTATTTGATTTAATGAAATAAACCTTCTGCAATCAGCACATGAAAATAAACATGCGAATGAGAAGAATTAATTGTTGTCGTTCTGTCTCATTGATAGAATTTTTTTCGAACGATCTCAGAATTTCATTAATGAAAGCTTGTCTTGAAGAGAAAGAAATAAACCAAACAGCAATGATATTATTCGACATTTTTTAAGCGAATATTATCATAAGAAGATAGGTAAGAAAACCGATGTAATGCAAAAATTGCTATCTCCAATTCAAACTTCTATGCAATTATCGATAAATGAAAGAAAAATTATACATTTAATATGGCTACGATGAATTAACTTGAGACCGATATTGATCAATTCTTCACGCACGAAAGAAATTTATTTTTCGAAATCAATCAATACTGTTTTTAATGAAACGATATGAAAAAAATTGTTTGTCAGTAGATCAATATTTTAATAAGATTAATAAAATAATTGGTAAAAAATTATATTTGAATTATGTTTCCATTTCTATTATAATGATAACTTTCTCTATATACAAAGTTGTATTTAGTTTTTTTCATAAAATACTAATGAATAAAAAATGTCGATGAAAAGACAAAATTAATTAATTAGTCTTAGTTTTCCAGTAAAATGACACTAAATTGAGTAAATTCGATTATTTGAAGACTTTAAAATAAATTAGAGAAAATACATTTGTTAATGATATATATTGATATAGAACACAATCAATTTTATTCAACTGATGAGAGGTATCGATTTCTTTGGTACCTATATTGATGGAGAGTATACATTTTTATCACTAAATCACTTAAGACATGAGTCAATTCAAATGAAACAAATTGTTCTAATGGTGAGAATGAATACACTGTTGTTACACTCATTAACAATTCTGCGTCTTCGCACTAGAGTCTATCGAATTCAAGCATTTCAAAATCGATTGAATCTGAATCTAGGACCAACTCGACGGACTCTGCCTTCTATCTCACTCCTATATTTGAAGATAGTTCATCCTTACTCTTATGATATTTCCTTTAATTATTAATTTTTGAATGTAGTATTGTAAAATTCATTTTTTTCTATTTGATATTCTTATTTTCATCTATTAAGTATTTGATGCTGAAAAAAAATGCATTCCCATATTGATAGTTAATAAAAGAAGAATAATAAACGATTACAAGAGAATTTCAGACATAATAAACCAAATTTCAATGGAAAAGAAAAATATTATGCAGTGCAAAAACTAATACATTAAAAGTTTCAAAAGACGTTATAAAAATCTTTTTTGAAAATAAATTAATTGAGAACATAATGAAATAAAACCTTTGCTGTATTGTTTCTTTTTATTTTATAATTTCTTTAATCAGTATGGTGTTTTTAGTTACTCATAAATTTAATTCAACTTACAGTTTCTTTGTCCAAAATGTTTATCTATATGTATTGATACATGCAGACTGTTGCTTTTCATTTTCTAGCCATTCACCTTTCAATCTCAACACTATTGTATCTGTTTTTGTGCAATAATTATATAAATCGTCTGTTGTCTTTTGCTTTTGTTTCATCATCATTAGTATGAAAACAAAAACAGATACACTGACAATCAAATATCAGCAGACTTTATATATACGAAGTGTACTAATAAACAAAAACAAAAGTACAATATTAGAATAATGACATCTTTGAGATCAGTTATTGCATTTTCTTCATGAGCTGATTATCATCGTCAAAATGAAGAGACTAGTTATCAGTTTTTGACATTCAAAATCAAGTATTTATGACCTTTTCTTTTCTATCATTTTTCACCTGAAAGTGATAAACAGATTATTTCTTTCTTTGTGAAGAAAAAAAAAAAACGAGACAAAGTCTTCTAAGTAAATATATTGCCCTAATCATCTTTGATAGAACGTAAAAAGGGAGGGAATAGACTATCAATGACCTTTCGGAAACTAATCGTTCTTTGCTAATGAACAAGTCATCTTTATATCAAACATATTGCTGTCATTCTCTCTTGTTATCAATATAGGTTTCATTCATATTCTAATAGTATTACTAGAAAAAGAATAGGACTAATAGTAATAATAATAATAATTATTATAATAATAATAAACATAAGAAAGGCATAGATAATTATTGTCGACCATGCACATCAATTAAGAGTACCAATAGCTAAGATCGACAGACAATAGTGAAAGAAAAATGATCTCTACTTAGACAATATCGAAGAAGAATTTATCTTCAAAGTCAAAGAGAAAAAGAAACAGAAGAAACTGTCTTTTCTTATCGATAGTGGCATGTGTGATAATGTAAGTGTTAGGAATAAAACCATATCCGAATGTTGTATGTCATCCATTCTTTGTCTTTTCTATCCCAAGGTTACACTATTGTTAACATATTTTTGTCTCTGGAAATCTTCATCATTATGAAAAATAACTTGGTAAAAGAAGCAGTAATCAAATATCATGTTGAAATATTCATGTTGATAGGGATTTCTTGTTTTAGTTGAATTGATATCGATTCTCTTGTCGTATGAGTCTGTCTTTAGTCTCAGATATATACTAGACTAAGCAAGAACGATAAAGAGATAGACTAAGAAAGAAGGGAAGGAAATCGACACA